ATTATATTATATTATATTTTTATATTATATTTTTTATATTGTATTATATTATATTATATTATATTATATTATATTATATTATATTATATTATATTATATTATATTATATTATATTATATTATATTATTGCCAGATTTCAACGCCGCACCTGGCCTCGAGCCGCGGAAACGAGGCACTGCGTGGACAGCGACTTGGTCTGGATGCCGTGCATTGGCTTCGGTCCATTCAGGCCTGGATGGACGGGTCGCGCATGGTGAGCATGAGAAGCCTGTAACCTGCCACTGTCCCTTCTTCATGTGAATCTCGATTCTAGCTCTAGTTCTCTCATTCTCTCCTCTTTCGTCTCTCGTCGGAATTGTTAGGATCATTTGCACATGCATGTTTTTGCATGGTTGCATTTGAGAAACGAATGCGCGAAGAATGTGTGCAGAGTCACTAACTGAAAGGGTGGATGGATGCTTGCAAGGTCAGTGTGTCGGCTGGTTGGTTTTCTGCCTGGCTGGCTATTTACATGGACGCACATGTGGATACGTGAATAAGCAAGTGCGCAGAGGAAGACAGTAAGAGTAAGGACGAGGGAATCGCGACAACGGCATGGCGGATTCAATGCAGGGGTTACAACGAAAAAAGACTGAGTCATCTCTAACTGGGGGCTCCTGCGACTGCCGGTGCTCCAGGCTCTCAAGGACCCCTTGGCCGATGCCTTGGGAGGAATTCCACCTGGAATCTTTGGATTCGTGGACAAGGACAGGCCTAGGCTGTTAACTGCGATGAGCCCATGCAGACCCCAAAGAAGCTGCCCATAAACTTTCTCCCTTTAACTACTAACTTCTAAGCCAAGAGCCCGGTGGTGGAGGAGCTGGAAGGCTTCAGGCGCGTGAACATCACGCCGGTGTCATTCGGCCCCTGAAAGGAGTCCAATTCTGTGGAGCCTTCTTGAGGGCCTGATCCAGGGTTTGAAGTTTCCCTGTTTTTGGACTATGACGATGATGAGATGTTACTATTCTTCTTCTGTAGTATTGCCATTAATGTTCTACCCTGTTTTTATGCTTTTGGCAGAGCCATGCCGTCCTACCGATGTGCATTGATGTCAGTGTTCACATCCCCAAACCACAATCCCAAAATCCTGCACTGATGCGCTCGATCCCGAAGCAGTAGCCAGAATGCCCATGTCGGCCCGAAGTGCTAAAGTGCTAATCTGAACCCCCAGGTTTGTCTTCCAGGGTATGACCCCTGGGCCCAAGCATTCCATGTTCGTGAACCGTGACCTGGCCAGAGACCTTTCAAGGTTTCCGTGAAGGGTCCGATAGGGTTCAAGGAAGGAGCATATGGGGAGCCGGTGTCTAGAGGTTCGGGCTTTTGGGGCTTTAGGGTCGAGGGAGCCTGGTCTTTGCAAAGTTCTACCGGCTTCTGCCTTGTTATAGGCATTTTGGGGTTTGGTGCTCAGGTTTCGTGGCAGCAGCCGTGCGGTCCCGGGGCTTCGGAAGTGCGAGCTCTAGCATAGTAGACGCGTGATGGTACCAGCTTTTCACTTTCCATTGATTCTAGTGTTTTGTGACGCGTGGGGCGGGTGTTGCAGTTGCAGTGCTCATTGCTGGAGGCATGGACCAGCAGATGATGGATGCCTGGGCGCTCCTCGCGAGCGGGCATAACAACGAGGTTGCCTGTAGTAGAGCCTGCTTGTGGCACTGTAGCACAGTGTGTTATAGTGTGTTTTCATGCACATGTGATGTGCATGGACATGTTCGGACCGTGTGTGGCAGGCTCAGAAATTCTTTGCAGTCTCGACAAGTCGAATCAATGGAAGCTTGACGGCAGCGAACATCGCATGTGATCATTGAAACGGCACATAGTGCCCACCTGGGTCCTGCTTTGTTTAGGTCTTGCCATTGTAGTAGACGTTCTAGCACCGACAGCTGAGGTGACTTTGTGCACTTCATCTTTCAGCACATGCGTCATCGAGGGTGCGAAGTGTTGCAGGCCCCTTACTTTGCAGGCGCACCGGGTCGTTCGTTCCTGCTTTGCCCTTGCAGGAAACACTGCAAGCTGGAGGTAGCTGGACAGTCGAATGTCACGTTGTGAAAGCCCTGCGTAGCCGGAAGCCCCACTCTTCCAGGCCCATAGGATGCTTGGCCGTATGCAAAGTTACTTGATATCTGACACCACAGGCGTAAGAGCGCAGGCCACTCACAGGTTTCCTTCGCTTGCACTGCGGTCCGACGAACCAGGGACGCAGTTGGTCCACTTTGCCGAGAACGGCGTTGTCCAAGCAGTGTTTGGGCCACCAGGTCTCCTGAGACTTGGCAGCGATAATCGGCATCCTTGCTTCTTCGTGGCCTGTGGCGGGGCCGGGCTCTGGCAACCAAGAAAAAACCACCACCTGGGACTGAGGTTGTTTGGCCTTAACAAAGCTGCAACTTCGGCTGCATCCCGGGCCAGGTGTTTTTTTCATTTTCAGCTTCGCCGACTTACCCGCCGGCCTCGCTTCCCTTCCTGAGTGTCAGCCAGTGGTAGTACCAGGCTGCAGTCAGCTGTGTTGAATCAGCTTGACATCTAAGATTGTGAATATCGATTTCAACACCTCTGGCTTTGACTGGATAGATCTGGACCGCATCCTCAACAAATGGAGCCCGGCAATGCACTGGAAGAGCTTCCTCAGAGCTCTTGTTTTCGGGTCGGTCTAGGTGCCGGGAACATGCCGAGGGTGCATGTTCGCTAAAGGGTCTCGGAAGTGATCTTGTTCAATGACCCTGTTCGTCGTGAATGGCTGTCCCGACCGAGGAGCATGACCAGGGATCAGTTTGTTGACGCCTGCATGCTGGCCGGGACAGAGTACTGCTTGACGTTCCCGTACCTGCAGGCGGAACCGTCACCGCACGCCAACTTCAAAAGTCGTTTCCCCCCTGTGATGGATCTTTCCACCTGACGGCTGATCCGTTTCAGCTCGTCATTTGCAGCCTCTCTCCTCACAGTTTCTTGAGCTGTGTATCGGTCCTTGCGATATCTTTAGTGGTCTTGCAGTTCAACAAAATGACGCTTCCAGGTGAAGCAGCATGGGGATGTCGATGTATCGAGAGTTTCCGTCCGGCGATCCAAGAACTGCTTATAACTGCTTTTCTCACTTCCAAAAAGACACATGGCAGGTTTCGCGCTTCAACTTTGACATGGTGTCCTGCCTGCACAGGGCTGTGGCAAGATGTATGGGAGGACCCACGGCATAGTATCACGGTCCCTCAAAGTCAAGGCCATGGTAAACCCTGAGCAGTGGCAGCGAGCACGCAAGTGCGCCCGAAGTTGCTAGCCCGCTGAGGCCATAACGGTGGCTAAGCAAGCACCGTGTCTTGGAGACGACAGCCTTTCACCTTTGGCGGTCAGGCATATCTGGTGGTGGCACACAGTGTGTTTTGGGCTTCCTTCTGTTGGCATGTAGTGTGATTGTTGCTTCGGTTCTATGTGTTGGTACGCTCTTGGATGCCCGTGAAGAGAGTTTGGATCATGTCGTTCCAGCTAGCAATTGAAGCCTTGCAGTACAGCTTTTGTGTGCGTGGTCCAGCCTCAGCTCCGCAGACCCCGCCCACTGCAGCTGTGACCTCATGGCGTTTTGAAAGCCGCACTTTTTCGTTTGCTCAGGTTAGTCTCCTGGATGCAGACCTTCCCAACCGAGGAGGTGAAGGTCCGTGCATGCAAGCTCCAATGCATGGAAGACCGTGTTATCCCCGATGCGTTGGAGGCCGATCATCTCGAAGGTTACTGTGTCTGTTGCCCGGCGGGGAAGTGGTGAAAACTGTGTAGCAGAAGGTGCATGATGTGCATGATTGTGCCCTTAGCCCGCAGCTTCCGTGCTGCTCTGTTAGGCAAGCTCCTTATTCAGCACTCGCCGGTCTACCACGTGCATGAGAATGCAGCACCTTGCCGCCACCGAAACTCCCCCTAATCAAGCTGGTTGGATTTTCAGCGAAAGGTGAGACCTTCGGGTTTTGGCAACATGCTGGCCGTGCCCAATGATTACTCCATGGTCCTTGGAGACCCGCTGCCAAGCAGCCTGCTCTCCGGCAGCAGTTATATGAACTGCTTGTGCAGGTGCCGTTAAAGAACCGTCTTCTCTCCCCTGCAAGAAGGTACTTTCTGATCTTCAGCGGCATCTTGTCGTCCAAGCTACCGCAGGTGGGGAGTACGAAAAAGGGCTGTCCTTTCGTGGCCTCGTCGCCGGAGCTTGAGCTGCTTGGAGGCCCTGGCGAAGGGCGAGTGGTTGGACAAGTACCAACCCTTGGTCGACACTGTGGAGCCTTGCCTGTGCCAGCGGACCGTGTGCAGAGGCTGGATATTTTGCACCTGGCTTGAGGGTCTCTGAGCTGAGGAATACCGACAGCTGCTTTCAGACGCTCGGATTCACCGTGCTTTTGAGTTGCTCTTAACTAACTGCGTCACAGCTATGTAGCGGAAAGGACTTGTCGGACTATCGTCAGCGGGCTTTGGGCTTGATCGCCCGCCATCTCCCGCCCTACTTCCGCAACAAGCGCAGCTGGGAAGCACGTTGCCGGAGATCCGCATCTCCTGCGGAGCTGCAGTCCGTGCGTATGACCGAGGTATACTCTGCAAGGCGTTTTGGGAGAATCTCCAAAACCGGCGAAGCAGCGACCCGGGCTGGACGAGGCGGTGTCATTTCTTCTTGCACCGCTTGGAGGATGGCGTCATGACAAGTCGCGGTGTCATCATATACGTGCATAGAAACCTAAAAGGGCATGTCTCTGCATGCTTGTATACCAAAATTACACACAAGTAAAGAACAGGGTTTTCTCTGTTTCTTGCATGATGCTTGTCAGAGCTTCAGCCCTGAGCCTTGATGGCAGGCGGTATTTAAAACCCGAGCAGCTGCCGGACGTGCCCTGGCTGTGAAGAGATGTGCAAGTGAACCCTAAAGAAGAGCACGAAGGCTTAAGCGCCAAAAACTTAAGGTTCCTGGCTCCTCAAGCAAATAAGCAAGAACCTAAGTTGGCCTGAAACCCTGTCCTGCTGCTGCTGGGATCCGTCAGGATCTGATACGCTGGAATATCAACTCCAGAAACATCGCGCAAGAGATGCAGAGACAGCGCGTCAGCAAGGCGCGTCATTCAGTGTTGCGAGCTACTTCTGTGAATTTTGGGCAGCAGCCCCTGATTTGCTTCGTGCCTCAGGTGGATTTCAAATTCTGCCTGGCACCTGCAAGCAATTGGACACATTGCATGTCTTTGGTTGTTTGGTGCCAGACAGACTGGTCTGTGACTCACTGAGACAGCAGTCGGCTACTAATCCCCACGATATTCTACGTCCGGAGAACTGGTCCTGCTAGGTGCAGACTTGGATGAAGCAACAGAAGCAGCTTCTGATCAGACCTGGTCGAGCTGAGGCATGGCACACCAACGAGTATCTAAATGGTGGCCCGTTGATCAAGGATCTGAATCGGAGGATTCCGGAAGATGAGAAGGGCGATGACACCAAGGCCTTCGATCACTGCACTTGCTGTGTTTCTGAAGGTGCAAGCTGAAACCCTCCAGTGCAGGCTGTGTCGGCGATCGTCCATTTCATGCTGCTGGAACATTTGGGCCTGATTGCCGATGACGGTGGCATGACGGCGCAGACCTCAATTCAGCTTTTTTCAGTCCCCAAAACAGTACCTCACCCTCATGGGTATTCAGAGCTCGGTCTTCGGGGCCACAGCTCCGCCTCAGCACGGAGGTGCTGGGTGATGTCTTGAAGGACTCCCCGACCTACTTGCAGGACCGCCTCCAGCCAAGGGCTTTCATTGAACCGGTTGCTACTGCTGGTGCCAGTGCTACTGCCACATCATCTGTCGATCGATCTACACAGAGCTAGAAGGAATAGATATCGTGTTCACGAGCGAGTTGAGAGCGTCCTAAGCTAATGACAAGCTTCTTACAGTGAAGTAAATCTTCTGTCCCACGAGGAGCCCTGTCTCGTGGCATTGGAGCTGATGAAGTTCGGTCTTCTCAGTGGAGATCCGTGCCTCTGCGGATGAGATCCTAGTGACCTAGTGCTATTCCATGCTTTTCCACGCTTTTCCTGCAGCCGCCTGCTGTTTCAGCAGCTGCCAGCGCCGACGTTAAGTTGCATCCTGACTCGGACAGGTTCGAGGCGGCTGAGCGCCCCTTCCCAGAGCAGGCCGGCTCCCTCCTGGCGGTTTACGATGCTGTCGTTGCCGTTGCCTTTCGTTGTCCGCGCATGTCCGCACCACGGTCGTGGTTGTGACGGTCGTGTCTGTGCCATGTTCCTTTTCGTTCTGGTTCTGGTCGACATAGGCTTCGTCGTCCTCAGCGCAGGTGGGCTATCCGAAGCAAAGCGTGGATGGCACCACGAAGTCCATTTTGCTCCTGGCCCGGGCCATGTCTCTGGTCTCTGGGCAGCATCTGTCTCCGAAACCTGCAGGCAGAGGGGGGCCAAGGGTGCCGCGGAATTTGTGAACTAAGGTCCCTATGAAGCTGAAGAGTGGTATGTGGAATGCGGATGTGGACTTCGATCTCGCAGCTTTCCACTCCCTGGTGCGCTTAGCGCATCGGCAAGACAGCTTTGGCGTGGGGGAGTTTCAGAAACAAAAGGCTAGATCCCAAGTATCCCCAAGTAGAGGCTCCAGGTTGTACGGACCCCGACCCCCCCGACATCAATGACAGTTTCGAGGATGGATCCTCGGCTTCTCTCATCCCTCATGTCTCGCGACTACTTCTGTTGGCAGTCTGAATAGCCTTGGTTTCAAGGTGAAGAGAGCTTTGCGGCACTTGGCCGAAGCTTCCCTCGTCTCGGTGCTCCTGAAGAATCTGCAACGTGTCAATCTGCTCCCCCAAGGTGGGAGGCGGATTTCTTGGGCGCTTCTGTAGGATTGCTGGAGGCGTTACGTCCCATGACTGTATGGCTTTGAGTAGTCCTGGCCTTCAGAATCAACAGTCTTAAGCAGGTCTGCTGTGTGCGGCGGCTCCGGACGACGACGGGGAGGGCCACGGCATCATGCCGCTCCTTGCATGCACAGAGAGTATTCAGTACTGATTTTCGAGCGAAGCCTTACCCAGCTAGCATGCCCGACGAGGACGTTCATGCTTCCGCGTGCGTGCATGGGCATCGTGTGCCTTGCCTGCAGCGCTTCCTTGTCTTCCACCCACGATTTGTGTTCCCGGCGAGCCTAGAATCAACGCCCAAATGCGCCTAGGTGTCTCTTCTTTTTGAAGTTCCAGGGGAGCTTCAAAAGCTTCACCCGGGAGCTCTACGCCAAGTTCCCTTGCTGCATCCAACCTCTTGAGGCCCCGCAGAGAGATGTTGGACTCTGGGGTAAGTTTGTCGTGGTTTTCAGGGCGGAGGTCCCCAACCTCATCGTTTCGACAGTTTTCGAGAGTTCCATAGATCCACAAGCACGAACATCGTTGAAACTTTGGGTGGCCCGTGCGCATGGCCTCAATCCTCTCTCAAGCTCACCACTTTCGATAGGGCGCAAGCCTGTCTGCCATGGGATTCCAATCACATCGCTTTCGGAGCTCCCGTTCTGGGCAGGACCTTTCCAAGGCGTTCCGTTTCTGGGAGGAGCGAGGGGCAAGCGTAGGCTGATTCTGTTCTTGCGAGTGCAGAGCGGCACATGCAGTAGTCGCATGCTTCGATTAGAATGGGTTTTGGCCACTAATTACTGAAATTCATGCTGTCGTTGATCGTACGACTGGTCCATCCGAAGGTCGGTGTTGAGATGTTAGCTGAAGTTGAATTGTGCCTTGGCGGCAGGACCTCAAGCGATGCGCGGGGACCTTACACATATAGGACTGGATTTAGGATCGGTGGGTCAGAGTTAGTATTACTCGTTATTCGAGCAGCTTTTACCATGTTGAAGCAGACCGCAGCCAGCGGTTGGCCTAGAGGGAGAGGGAGGATGCGCTTTTCGGGCTTCCCTTGTGACCACGGCAACGTGATCTACTGCAACTACCTTATGGTCTTGGGTTTGGGTTGAACCGGTACTGTACTGTCTGGCATCGGGTCCAGCCGGAGGGCTAAGGGCTCTCGGGCCGAAACTTCTCGCATCCAGCCCTTGATGCCAGCACCCGAAGCCTGTCGTACAGCAACGCATCCGTGGTGCCACAACGAGCATTGAGGACTCTTGGAGGTCTAGGACCCTAGGAATGAAGGCTATCGGACCGGTGCCGAGCTCCTTATCGCGCTATGCACAGGGGAAACCCGGAAAGGCCCTGAGCCAAAGAGGAAGCAGCAGAGGTCCTGGCTATTGCGGAGCCCTTAGGGGCCCAGGAGCTGGCCGACGACATGGAGGCCGCAGTCCACAAGAGGTTTCGGGTTCAGAGTTGCGTCGAAGTGATTGCTCCTTGCTGTTCGGATCTCAAGTTCGCCATGGCTTTCACCTTGGCAGGCTCAGACTGATTCCTATCGGCATGGCATACGGACACCAACCGCTCTAAACCCTAAATGCCGCTCCCCCAACTGGAAGAACCTCTTCACCCACGCTGTGCAGGAAGCAAGCAAGCTCTTGGCGCACCAGAGGCAGGAGCTTGGTCTATTCGACTGAGCGGATCAGATCTCGAGGATCTCGAGGCGTCCCTGACAGAAGAAGCACAGCACATATCATACTAAGGTTAACCTAAAACCACCAGAACAGTACTGGCAACAGTAGCACTATGTAGCACTGACAACTACGATAATAGCACGAGCTTCTGCGGCCATGGTATTTCGACAGCAGTCGCATCCGCGGCAGTAGAAGCATCGAAACAGAGCAGCAGTAGTAGCAGTAGCAGCAGCAGCAGCACATAGCTGCAGTAGCAAAAAGGCAGACAGAAACAGCTGCCGTAGTAGTGCGAGCAGGTAGCAACACAGATAGGCATAGCAACCTTGGTGACAGTTGTAATCTCAAGGACCCAGATACTTCCTTGCTCTTTTGCATTTCTGTTCAGCAGAGGGAAAGACCCTCGACATTTGAGCCTGAAGAGATGCCTCTCTGAACCAGCGCAGGGATCCCTCCAACCAATGAGGAATTCTGTCTGGATGATCTTCTCAACGTCCCTCTGCGACACAATCCGGATTATCGCTTGCAAGTTTGCCTAGGCACGGTCTCCCTCTTGCACATCAGGTTTGCAGCAAGCAATTGAGGAGAGAAGAGGGGTTTCGGGTTTAGGACCTCAGGATGAGGGCTACGGCCTGAAAAATGCCTTAGACCTAATTCGATGCTGCTTCCTGATGCTTCCCATTCGACTTTCTGCAGCTGGCTTGGCGCGAAGCCGCCCGTTGCATTTCTCCGATATCGGTCCGGTCCTCCCTGCACGTGGCTGTCGAGTCATGTGTTAACGTGCTGGGCGGGCTCCAGAACCTTAGCTGTCGCAGGCGTGCTGCAGCAGGGTAACTTCGAGGCTGAAAAGGGTAACAGGAGTATTTCCCACCATGACATATCAATGCCAGGTAGTCTGGCCAAACTGTTGATGCCGCATACTATACCTCCGGCTAGCATCCGAGTAGATGCCGAGAGGCCGAGAGCTGATTGTTTATAGTTTCACCGACATAGACCTGCACGCGAAGGCTCTTTCGCGCCAGAAAGCGTTTGCTTCCATGCGGTTGGTAGCACGTTGCGTTCTGGTGTGTTGGCCTTCAAGTTCACGCTATACCCGAAGCGCCAACCCGAAAAAACCGGGAAGCCCGGAACCCCAAGCCAAGGTGTCACTTTTCAAGTCGATGAACCATCACAGTCGCATCCTAAGTCTTGGAATGGTTCGTGCCGAGCCCGAAACTGTTAACCCCACAGCCACTAAGACCAACCTCGCAAGACTCTTGCATCCAAAGACTGCTTCGACAGCCTTCCCAAGGCCCGGACACTTTGTTCCTCAGCCCTTTCGTGGGCAACTGCCAGGCTCGTTACTTGTATCTTGAAGTGCCACGTAGCCTTTATGTAGCAGGACTTGATGATAGGTGACTGAATTTGCTTGCCACCGCAAGATCATCGACCGCCTCATGAGAACTGGCACGATCAAGCCCAAGGCGCCTTTGCGTGGACTGCTTCTTGCCTGTCAAAACCGGATCTAGTCTCGAGCTTAGATGTCTTAGTTCTTGAGCAGAATCGGCAGACAGCAGGCATTGTTGTTTTTTTCGTCACTACCCGGTCACTACCCTGTGCATGCGGCAGATCCTCTACTTGCCGATCAATCCTCTGGCGAAGAGCCCAGTCGCTGCAATACCCCACATGATTGTCGCATGACGTGTGAGAGTGCGTCACGAGAGAGACATCAAGACCTATGCTAAGTGGGGTGGAAAGGCAAAAGTAGAATGCAAGCATACGATGTGGAAGTATGTTGGTGTTACCCAGATGTACCATAGTATTGCCAATCCGTTGCTGCTGCTCCTTCATGTCCTCCTCCTCCTCCTGCACATACTTCCACTCCACCTCCACCACCTCCACCTCCACCTCCTCCTCCTGCTGCTGCTGCTACTACTACTACTGCTGCTGCTACTACTACTACTACTACTGCCACTACTGCTACGACTGCGACTAGTCCTCCTACCACAACTGCCAGTGCCACGACTACCTACCACCGTGACGACGACCACTGGCTCTGCCACTGCTTTTGCCGCTTGCGAGCTCCGAAGGTGCCGCCAGGCCATCATGTCAAGTCCACTCCTCAGGGGGCGGAGCTTCGAGGACTCCAAGCCAGATGCTGGAACTCAGAGCTGCGCTGAACCGTCCATTGCTTTCGCTTGCACTCCAAACCGGCTGTTTCCCCTCCCCCTCGCAAGCCAGGCCGGATTTCTTCAAGTGGTGGGACGAGCATGGCTTCGTGTTCATGAGGTCCTGCAGCATGACTTTGTTCACATAATATTGGGAGTATGTTGGTAGACGCGCTACAGTTTCCGCCCACATTCGAACTTCGTCAGCGGGTCGCAAACCTCACCGCAGACGAGTCTGCCGGCGCTTTCTCAATATGTACTTTTGGAGGCAGGTGGTATGCCTCAAGCTCGAGTTTCGTAGGGTCAAAATCACCATGTGGCTGCTTCTCAGCACCATGTTCTGTAGATCTGGAGCATCTTGCTTACTGCAGTCAACACTGTCTGGACTTGGCACCATCGCGAAGCGAGAAGCGCACATCAAAACATCACGGGCAGATGCGGATGTACTGCAAGCATTTGTGCGTGACCTGTTGATGATTGCTTGGAAAATCAGACCAGTGCAGACAAGTGGTGGCTCGGTGGGATTGTGCAGTTTGCGAAGATGAAAGTTTATGGGAAATTTGTCCGTTGACATGTACGAGTCAGAGCAGTCAAAGTGCTGGTAGCACCACACTGACTTGACGTGTCGACAGTCGAAAAGATGACACGGACAGAGCGGGAAGCAGCTTGGCCTTCGACCTGACAAGGGCTGATAAGAGGACAAAGGTGTTTCTGTGAGGCCTTAGCCCGCAAGGGTCAGCACTGGGTTTCGAAGCAGCCACATGATCTATTTCGCAAAGGCAACAGAGCAAACAGCTTTCTCCCACACTCAGGCATGGTTACATGCTGTGCCTTTGTAGCACTGCGGACGCTGGAAGGTTATTGGTGCTTCAACGGAAACCACACAGATATCAAGGGTATCAACTGGCAACAGAGACTGTGGAAAGCCTCGTGTTCGCGATGCAATGTTCTCGCAACCATGTTTCATGTCAAGATAACCATAGCTCCCTGAACATCTCTAGCTGGGCCTGGTAGCGATTCAGACCGTCAGCAGTGCGTCCCGAATCATGTGCTTTTGAAAGTCTTTGTCGTGTGGTCCCCACCCCCCCCGCCCCCGCCCCCCGCCGCCGCCACCACCCCCACCCAGTAGGAATAAGATGCGTTTCTTCGTCGTGAGAAGCTCTCGGCACGGCCATGATGATGTTGATGTATCATGCTGGATAGGGACACCGACGGTGATGCTGTGATGATGTCTCCCCCAGGCAGGTGATGGAGGGAATCAGCGCAACCGGGGATGATTCTGGACTGCCGCCGGCCGCGGGCTCGGCAATCCTACACGTCGCATCACAGAGCATATCAAGGCTGCAGCTCAGGTGACCACATCTATTTGGCTGGCACAATGTTCGCTGTCGGCTGGCATAGAAGTGGTGAGCCGCAACCTCGAACCGACTCTGAAGACCAGCGCATTGATGTGGAAGCTTCCGTGGCCTTTAGAAGCCCTTCTGAGCCGTATTCACAGCCACAGCATTCGAGGTGGATACGGCTATGAGCTGTCCGACTCTTAGAGGAATGTGCCGCAGTTCACGCTCCTCTGCACGGCTCACTCAGCATGGGTCCTCTTTGCAAAGGGTATGAGTTCGGGCGTGTGTCCTGCCGCGGTCCTGCTGATGTTGCATGTTTCACCTCCATTACGGACATGCAGTAGCCCTAAACTCTAAACCCTAAGCCCTCAGGCTACTGGCAGGTCCAGCTTTCCCGAGCTAGCGTCCTGCCGAAGCATCTCGCTGAAGGCTGCACGTGGAGCACACGTATGCCGTGTTCCTGTGGCGTCCGTTGTACAAGGAGCTTGAGCTCGCCAACGCTTGTATTATAGTATATTATAGTATATTATAGTATGCTATAGTATATTATAGTATCTTATAGTATATTATAGCATATTATAGTGTATTAAAGTATATTATAGTATATTATAGTATATCAATAGAGATATTCCATGTTCACCATGCGCTGTCTGTCGCTTGGAAGTCCTGGCCAGTCTTGCAGGCCTCGGGATCCACGGCGGGCCTCTTGCCCAGACAGACTAATTCAAGAGGTGACTGCGTGCTGCCATTTAGAGTTCAGGGCTTAGGGCAGACTGTTCTGGGCAGTAGTCTTCCTGCATCAAACTTGCATCCGATCAGGTTTCGAAGCTTGGCGCCTAGAGATAAAGGATGCCGTTGAACTTTGCCCAGGCGCATCGGTCGACGTCCGTGAAGCCTGGCTGCGGGGTCCGGCATCTCAGGGGAAGCTCGGGTCAAGTCTCGGTTCAGGATTCAGGGGTTGGGGTTTTGCTTGGGTTTTTCGATACTCAGACGGGTCACCTAAGGCTGGCACTGCTCTCCCATGGCCCGCTTTGTGTTCGACCTCGAAATCTGGGGCAAACACTCAGTTCCGGAGGACAGACCGGGATCGGGTGGGGAACCTAGTGCTGGACGTTAGTGGGCCCTGCGAGCATCTCAACCTCAGGCCCAGCTTTGGCTGTGCATAAGCTCCAACCTCCCTTCCCAAGGGGGGGCCTCTGCTCTCCGGCCTCTGAGTCTGTGCGGCCCGTTTCTTCCTCGTGTGGGTGTGTTGGGCATCCGTTTCATGACCGTTCTTCTCTCCGTTGATGCCTCCGCAACACAGCCAGCCCAGCCAAGGCCAGCCCACCCTAGCCCACTCCACTTCACAAATCTTCAACGAAACAGCAGAAACAATTCGGAGTAGCAGGACTAGCAAAAACATAGGAGTGCTAACATGAGGCATGCAATTCCGCATGCTGCGAGCCAGGCAGAATCAGAGTAACTGCAACAAGATACAAAGGGAGTCTGGTGTGTAGACCAAGCACGGTACACGGTGTTTGCAGTTGGACCTGCTTTTGGGTCGGACGAGCATCTACGAATGCGGCCAGGAGATGAGACTCGCCTCTGCCTCTGTGCGAGCCTGAACGTCCACGATGAATTTTGTGGCGGTGTCAGTTTGTTCCAGCTACCAACTTTGAAAGTTGCGAGCCGCACGATGTCGTGCCGACAGCACAACTCTCAATGTCAGCATTTGGCAGCTCTGGTGTCGTTGTCGTACAGGCTGAACATGTGAGGGAGTCTGGCATCTTAACACAGCCCACCTTCCGTGCCACCGGCTAGTCCTTTATCACGCCTTGTATCAAAGACAGAGATTATCGGTATAAGAGCAAACACAGTAACGAAAGTTCGGACGCAGAATCTGGCGATCGTCAGTACCCTCCTTGTTCTTATCTCAGTCCTTACTCTTATTCTGTTGTAGGCACCCCCCCATTATGTCTTTAGTGTTGGCTGAGGAGAGCGCTTTCAAGGATCAGCCCGGCTCCGATCGAGCTATGCTGCGCCGGTCCCTAAGCCGGGGGTGTTTGTTCCTGGCCACCGACTGTTTGATGCTCCGATCGGCCGTCGCAGACTATTGCCTGGCATACTTGTTTGATCAAAAAGCAAGCTGAAAGTAAAAGCCCAGAAGTCTTAGATGATGTTAGAGGTAGATGGTGGCAGTGTGACAACATTCCTGAGCTTTTCTCCCCTCTCTGGAGGCCGCTATGCTGCCTCGGTGTCCTGGCCTGCTTTCTTTCAGGGCTTCATGAAACTCAGTGTCGACGGGTTCAGAGTTGGAGGTTTATACGCTCGAGTTTCGTGCTGTGGATGAGTGGAGTTCCGTTCGGATTTGAGGGCTCAGAGTTGCCATGAACCTCGGCAGAGGGAGGTCTCTGAACCGCTCACGCCCTGACTTGAGACGCCAGGTAATGACGGAGACTCCAGCCTTGCGCTATCTCCTGGAGAGAGGCGAAGACAGAGCCAGGGGGACCTTTGCGGAGTCTTCGCAAAAGCCTCGCAGCCCCGCTTTTGGCTTTTGGATGTAGGGGTGCTCGGCTCCGAAAAACCTGAAGGCGCGAAGAACAATGGAAATCTCCAGCGAGGCCACTGCGGAGAAGGGCTGTGTGAGCCCAGTGCTTAGCCTGGCCAGCGCTGGTCTTTGTTTCTCTTCTTCTCAGAGCTTTCCTGGCTCCTTGGTCGGAAGTGCAAGCATGTGCGACGTGCGGAAGCAGAGTCTTATGTACAAGATAGTTCGTGCAAGCTATGTCAGCTAAGCTCGACCCTGAAGTGCTCAGCAGATGCAGGTGTTTGCCACCCTTCCGCGGACCACTCTGCGAACTGGAGGTGGCTTGTGGCCTAGCCGAAACTGCCAACATCGAGCTTTGAGTTTTGGCGGAGGACCCCCCTCGTGTACAGCAGAAGCTGCGGGCAGTGATCCACTACATCACTGCAGAGACAGATCTGCACTCAGACTCAGACGGGCAAGAAGCAAGATGTGTTTCTGCAGAAGTCAAAAGGGGCCTTCTTAGGAAGCTGTGCGAACTGCTCCCTGCTCTGGCCCAGGAGCGCGACCTGCAAGACCTGGAGCGTTCGCTCACGAGCTTGTGGATCCACTTCAACAAAGGCCCGAATCTCCGAGTAGAGCTTGCTCAAGACATATTGCCCCCAGCCATAGACCGAGCTTGTTTGATTCTCGTGCCCACAAGGTCCGTCAGAACGTCACACATGTGAGCCTGGGTGTTTCGGTGTTCCTTCAACAGTGTGGGGGCGGTTACCCTGTTTGACACTGCTGCATTTGCCCAGCCTGCACCCACCCTCATCAGGCAGCTGGACCGAGTCAGTTTCGGATGCATACCTCGCCCTGGCCTACTGCCCATGGCACTCGTCTATGCCCACCTTGATCAATCACGTCAGAAGATGCTCATGATGCTGCAACCGCATCGCTGCCACCATAATACTCCCAAAGTACGAGCAACGCTTTGGCTGATGCTTGTAGGACTGTTTGAGCAGTAGTTCTTAAAAACTAGCCAGTCCATCAGCGTTTATCACTAATGTAAGTTAGGTAAGGCCTTGCCCAGTTTGGGTAATTGCACCACCACCGCCCAACTAGGAGCCATCAGATCCTAAAACACTTTACCATATAGAAAAAGAAGGTCCAATTATCTTAAATGGGCAAGGTAAGGTTTCGCCCAGTTTGGGTAATTACATCACCGTCAACCAACTACCAGTAGTACTCAAGAATCCCTAAAACACATTACCATATAGAACTCATCCTATTTTTCAGGTGATGTAACTTCCCGACATGGGCAAGCTTAGGTTGTTTCGGTTTATGGGGAATAGTATGGGTACGGGGGTTGTTCGTTCCAAAATGCCGGGGCTGATAGGGCTTGTGGGCGAGTGCAGTTATTTTCTTCTAATCCCAACGCACGGAGAACTCCTGATGTTGTTGATCGACGGCAGGGCTGCGCTCTGCTCGGCCGCAGGGTCGGAGGATTCGTGGAACTGCAGGGCCTGCTCTTAAGGCGGGAAATGCCGGACGCTCCGGCTGGGGGAACGGCTGGTGCAAGGCAGGAAGAAGAGCAGGACGTTTCCGGCCCAGGATATAAGCAAGGACGCCGTGGACAGGGAGCCCTGTCCTTCCGGGCCGAGCTGGTGGATCAGGGCCTGCTTTTTGGGGGACGTGGTTGCTCCACTTGCAAGCTACCTGAAGTTTGAGAAAAGGCGCCGGAACGCACAGATGCGTGTGCCCTCCTGCACGCTTTCCAGCGCATCGTCGGACACAGGCGGGAAGTGCATTGGTGAGGGCGGCAGTCCTGCTTCTTGCACACAGACCAAGCGCATGGCTGAGGGCGGCAGCCATGCTTCGCTTGAGGCAGCGCAGCGCGCGCGACAAGTTGCAGTCTTCACTGAGCCGGCTTATGGGCGAGCACATCTGGGCCATCTGGGCAGCCACATCTCTGCAAGAAATCGACCGTGTGCAGCCTGCGCAGCCTTGCCACTTCTGTCCCTGGCCCCTGCCCCAACACATTCTCTTGCTCCCACGCAACTCTACTAGAGACCTACAGGTCCCTTCACCCAGAAGGCCAAATTGGGACCCTTCTCAGAGTCGCTGCCAGGCGCACACACAGGTCCAACTCCGATGTCCTCCTGGCCGAGAGGGTTTAGGCTTTAGAGTTTAGGCTTTAGAGTTTAGGCTTTAGGGCCCCTCGCCCTGTTGTACGGCCGGAGCGTCATATTGCTCCCTGGTCTCTGCACTGAGTGTAGAAGAAGTGGAGAAAGCTAGATCAAGAAAAGGGATCCGAAGATGTCCATTCTCTGCTTTACGTCGTTATTTGGAACCCTTTATAAGATGAGCCGGCTATAACACAAGAAGCGAATCCCACAAGAAGGATCCGGCCATCGTAGTTCCACTAGAGGGAGGGGGTCTGGAACATATAGCCGGATGCTAAGCATTCAGCGGAGACAAGAAAGTGGGCGCCTGCTGACTGCCCATGCCTTGCGGTTTGCTGAGAGATTTCCTGCATAAATGGGGCTTTCGTGTAATGCTGCAGTGCGCACGGAGGCCGTTCGGAGGTGCACAATTAGTTCGTGAACACTGTGGCGAGGCCTTGTGTACTCGTGTCTCCACATCACTGCGACACGTTGGTGCAGTCTCGGACTCTCTTTCTGGCAGCTCAGTTACGAGAGAAAAGCTTCCGACACAGCGCATGGCAGCAAAGATTCTGACCGGGAGCCTGGACCAGCGCCCTGTCATTGCTGGCCTCTTCCTCGCAGCTTTGGAGAAATCAGATCGACAGAGCCGCAACGTGCCTGTGGGACCCGCAGAGCAGAGTCACCTGCATGAGGCGGCATTGACTCTGGCCGTGGCCGGCGCCAGCAAAGAATGTTTAAGCATGCTCGGGCTCAGCTGGAATGCTGTGCCACTGCTGTGCGAAACCTGAATATCCACAATCTCCCAGATCCAGTGCTCCCACATCGTTCGGCGGAGTTGCTTGCAGACGACAGTCACAAGCTAGACGGGGCCATGCTGCTGGGTCGTGACGGCCCGGAGCGACGCCTCTGCCTTTGCATGGACTCGACCTACCTGGTCAAGGCCCTGCGCCCTTTCAAGCAGGGTGATGAGAAAGGGTTCGTTGGAGGAGCCTACCGGGCAGAACTGGATGAGTCATGGATCCAGATGCCAGCAGAAGACACCACTTTGGACACGTCCAAAGTGGTCCGCACCAAGGAGGTGCTTGAGTGCCTGGCCTGCGACCCCGCGCATGGTCCCTTGTGTCCATCTGCAATGTACCTGTTGCAGCCCTCTATGCAGATAGTGTGCTGGAACTGGTTGGTATCATCATGCAAAGCGCTGGGCGGCAAGTGAGAGTCCTGATCATGGAGAACGCATTGCCTAATCGGGCCTTGAAAGACATCCTCCTTAGACGGGAGCTCAGCTAGGTCTCTTTCTGGAGCCGGGTGACCTTCGAGGCCCTTCCAGGGCATCAGCTCCCAAGGCGGAAGTATCGTGTGTGCATGATGGACAAAGAGGCACTTTACATCAGTCCAGGCCCAGCGCACAGCCAAAAGAACGCAGTCTGCGGCCTCAGGAAGTCTGGAAAATGCGTGATGTTCGGGAGCTTGCTGAGCTTGCTAGTCGACCTGAGCAGCCAGCTCGCCCTGGGACTGCCTCCTGCAGCTTTTTGCGGCATAGACTCTCACAGTGACAAAGAGGCTGCCCTCGCCGTGCAATAGCATCAGAGTCCAAAGGTCTGTGTCAAGGGCCCAGACTAAAAGAAAGCAAGGACGTTGGCCGAGGTACTCTGCCCGGTGTGCTGCGTCCTGAACCTGCGGGCGACGCCAGTGAAGGTGCCGTGGTCCTACAGGGCTGTTGGCTTTGTGAACATCAGCCGGGTTCTTTGCCAAGCTGCACTGCCCCTCCTATCCTATCTCCTATCTCTACTAGATGCTGCTCCTGCACAAGAGGACCAAAGCAATGTCGATGGCCGGGCAGAGGGCTGGGGGAATGGGTCGCCAGGCACTTTTGGCTTCTCCAGCCTCTGGAAGATCCCCAAGGGGCTGGATCCTTCTAGATACCAAGGCGCCCCTGACTCTGCAACATGCCTTGCATGCTGCAGGCAAGGAACTTCGCCCAATGGCCTTGGGACCTCCTATACCCCACAGATCCTCTCTGGCGGCTGCTGTATCGCTTGCGCAGTACCTCAGACGGATCCTTTGAATTTGCGAACAGCGTCCAGAGCTGGCAAACCCTTGAATTGGCACCAGCTGATGGAAAAACACTCGGAGTCATCAATCAAATCGAGGCGCAGCCAACGCACCGGGTGTCTCGCGTGGAGGCCTGGCGACGACTCGCCAATGAGAAGGCAAGAGCAGTGCACCATCGCACCTCCAATACAGCTGGCGTGCAGGGATATTGCTCTAGTCACCGACCATGCTGGTGCGTGGCGAGCGGCCGTGCTCACCACGTTCTTCAGAGTGCACGCCAAGAAGCGCGGATCTGCCCGACCCTCGCACTTGCCCCTGCCATGCGAGGTTGTCCATAGCTTCCACGTGCTCTACATGGAGAAAGCGGGTGCGGAGGCCACATGGACAGCGACATGGACGTCGGTGCGACGGCTTCTGCGCTGGAGAGTCTGGCTGTGATTCTAGATGTTGCCATGGAGGCCGGTCGTGTCTCAAACAGATCAGTACAGTAACGAGTCATGCCATGAATCTGGTCCCATGTCGAACCCTGTGTCCGTTCGGGAGCCAGGACTGGATGGGCTACGGGTGAGGCTAACAGACCGGAGTGTCGAAACAGTGCGACTGTTCGCAACCCTGGAGGATTTTCCGCAGTCGTGGGTCTTGCCTGTTCAGAAGAAAGGTCAGCCAAACAAGGAGCAAGCCCAAGCGCAAGCCAAGGCTTCCAACGCTTTGAAGAAGGCAGCCAGAGGTGCTGCTACTTCGAGAAAGCCAATTTCAGGAAGAACCAGCTGGGACGCGAGTTGATCCGCCAAGAGATTGCAAAACTCCGAGAGAAAGATGCCGCCATGTTCCCGAAGAGCCCCATGCATCCCATGGTGAGCGCTGAGAACACCATCACTGTAGAGGGCCAGGAATTGACTTGGCTCCATGAGGCTCCTGTGTACTTCGATATCGAATTTCGCAAGGCCAAACCCCTCGACGCTTGGTCCTACAACGTTTTTTCCTGGTTCGAAATGTCAGCAAGCCCACCCAGCAGGAACTGCTGGAAGCAATTTCTTCAGGCAATCCCGAAAATCAGGATCACCTGACGCGCAGCCGCTGTGGGCCAGTGTGCTGGGAAAGTGTCTTTCCCAGCACAGGCCAGCATCGCATTCGCGGGCCACGAATGGACCTGGGGTGCAGATCCTCCAACTGGGCGAAACCTTACCTTGTCAATTTTGGATAACTGCACCTTATTTTCTACATGGTAAAGTGTTTTAGGATGTAATGGCTTCTAGTTGGGCGGTGGTGGTGCAATTACCCAAACTGAGCAAGGCCTTACCTAACTATATACACACTCGTACGCGTCCTCGTGGCGTAGTACTAGTAATAGTAGTAATAGTAGTAGTAGTAGTAGTAGTAGCAGTAGTAATAGCAGCAGCAGTGCAGCAGCAGCAGCAGCAGGAG